TGATTTTTTGTTTCTTTTTTAAAGTTTGTCAATAAATAATGTGGTGAATTTAGCGTATGAGATATTAAGTGAAGCAAGTAGTAGTTCACCAGAATGTGCTGTACAGATGTTTTATGCAGTTAGAAATATATTTGAATTATTCTGTAGTGTATTTCCTACCTATCACAGACAAAGTCTTAATGCTCTACCACAATTTTCTGGTGAGTTTTAGTACATTAAACTTCTTCTGATGTCCATTTTGTATTGATTTTAACAGTTAATTCTGTTCTATTATTCTTAATTCATATACTCTTTTTCATTTTTCATATTATGAAATACAATAACAAAATATTTTCACTGCTCAATACTCAATTGTAGAGCAATATTGAAATATCCAATTAGTTTATTCAGGAAGAATCTGTATTATAGATATTTGATATTAGCTTATTCGTCTAAATATAAATACAGCTGATAGTTAGTTTTTAAGTTCAACTATCTTTTCTAAATTTGCAATGAGTAGCTCATATGTCAGAATAACAGAGAAACTTATTCTGTAATTATTTTATTTGCAGCCTTACATCATAATAACTGTATGTTTATAAGTCACCATTTAATGACGTTAGGACACCAGTTTAGTTTGAAGTTACCTCCTACTATTAATTCAACGTTTGTTGATCTTATACCTAAAATACGTGGTATTGGTACTCAGAGTTTTATGGATCAGATGAATTCTCAAAGAGATTTATTACTAGAATTTTTACAAGCTGCTAATGGTAAGGATAAAGTTTGGATATTTTTCAAGCATGCTATTTTATGTGTAGCCCTTTTATACACATGTTTCAGATAAGCAGTTGAAGGATTTAAGGATTTTTGGTCTGGCTGCAAGAATGGTAGGCTGCACGTAATCCTACCATATACTTACATGTAGAACCTGATTCTTGATAATAAGGAAAACCTTAAGCATTGCTATCCCACAATTTGTTATGTTATCACAAAACATGACATGACACTCTTTGATTAAAACACTCTATGGTTAAAGGTAACATCATTAGAACAGAACTGTGGTAGAAAACTTGTTAGATTACAATGGAAAACAAAAAAGAAACAAAATCTTATTTTAATATTAAATAGATTTAAATTGTGAATAACTTTGATTGCCTGAAAAGTTTTGGTCCTTTATTTAATTTTAAATTTGGAGTTTTGAATAATTCAGGTTTTGCTGACATGTCTAATG